ACATGCCACCTCCTGCAAAATGCCTGGCCCGTCTACATCCAATCGCCGGCTTCAACCAGCCATCAAGTGATCTCCTTTATTTTATCACTTGTTTACAGTTTTATATTTTGTAGGTATGTTCAAATTTAGTATACTTTGTGTAAGGCTAGCTTTAATGATTTTATTTCATAGGAATTAATTATTTATTTTACTTGTTAACTGTTTTGACTTAGACCAACTTGTGTCCTCTACAAATAAAAAAAATGTCAAAGACAAAGCTAATTCAAAGTTTCTTAGCGTGAGGTAATGATGTATGTTATACTGGGCGTGAATTTACTGCGATGCAAGGGGGGCACCACCTAAAATCTTGCCTAGGGTGCCAAATTGGTTAGGGCCGGGCCTGCTGAACGTGTTATTATGTTACCATCATTGATCAACAACATGTGTTTCAGAACTGTGTGTTAAGATTTGACTATGACTCTGAGAAGGAATGTGACTCAAACTGACCTCATGCAGCATCTTTGCTTCCCCTTAAACTCTCCCGTACCCCGCTCGAGAGGCTTTTGGTTATTTATTTTGGCTTTGTCCTGTGAAGTGTCAATGTCTGTGACAGACCACATCCTGTAATTTCCCAATCTTGCCAGGGACTATGAGTTAAATTACCAAGGAGCACAGTTAATCTTTCATTCCCCACCTCCCTCTGTAATGGGGAGAAGATTAGTCAGATGAAGATTATATTAAATTAGGACTAATTCTGATGTATATTAATCTGGGTATTGTTTTTGGTGAAAATCCATTTAAAAAGAAAAAACAGTAAGCTTTTATATTTACTTTATATAGACAACATTGTTGCAAATTGTAAAATACTGTCACACAGTTCTATTCTCTCCAGCCTCCATTTTCATCCTCTTTTGACTTTACAATGTGAAGTCAACTCTCAGTGAAGCACTCACAGAGGGAAGGTGCAGTTCAGGATTGGAGTGAGAGCACTTTGTTTCAAAGTGAGCTTCAAGTTGACTAACTTCAGTGGGTTTTTTTCACAACTAACAATACATTGGAACTCTGTTTTCATTTTTGTTCTCCATCCTTGTTGCTAAGGACTCATTGAGATCTCTTAAAAGTTGACTCTGATGAACCAGCACTTGGCATTAGAAAGAAGCACAGTTCTTTCTATACTTTGTTCTTGTCATGAAACACATCCTACTTACCTAAGACGACACTTGTTCTTGGGCGCTCTGGTGAGCATGTAGCGGTTGAGAGTGTAGAAGTAATCGTGGTAGGGCACATCATGGGCGATGACCTCCGCGTCAATAATGTAGCACTCATTCTCCTGGCTCGCCCTGTATAGAGTCTGAACTCACAATAGCACACAGTCAGATACTACTTCATGGAGTTTATACATTGATTTAAAAAAAAAAATTATAATTTCTATTTACTGAGCATTTATCGAGCCATGGCTCAAGAAATGTCCACCTACCTGTGTCTCAGTGACTGTAGCTGTTTTAGGAGCGAGAGGATTATTCAGGGCGATGGTGTACATGATCTCTCTTGTCTGGTTACCATCCTGCTCTTTTCTCCATGGGTGATACACCACATCTGCAAGAGAAAATGTGACAAGGAAACTTAAATGGACACTGTGCAGTGTTTGATCACTAGTAACACTAAGGAGCAATGTCTTTATAAGTAGGCAAGTGTTTTGTTTGTATCATACATGTACATGAGATTGCTAAACTTGCTAGGGAGCTCGATCACACCAGGCTTCAAGCTATGTGCTTGTGTCCAACCACAGTGGTTCGGACCAATCATCCTCCTATGAGGAACTACTGACAGCAAAGGCATGAGTTTTACTATGATGTTATGGTTCGTTTCCCCCTGAGTGGAGCTTTGATTCCCCACATAAATCCAATTAGACTAGACACGGTCTGCCGGATTCAACCTGGGTTTGTGCCCAAAACTGCTGCCGTAGTTAAGGCTCAGACTGAATTTGATTTGTTTAAAAATCTCATAATTCATGCTGTAATTAATGAGTTAATTTATTTATTAGTTTTGAGAATGATTTGTTTAGTTTACTTTAGCTTGTAATAAACTAATTAATAATTTTTTTTTTTTTTTAGGCAGAAATTCGGGTTTGGATCAGGCTTGCAAACACTTTTTATGGGGTCGGTTCAGGCCTGATTTTTTGGTGCCCAATCAAAGTTGTACCCATGATAAATGCTGATAGACAAATGGTTCATCCAATCAGTATTTTTTCAACGTGCCAGGTGGTTCTGTGTAACAAACCATCTGGAGTACTCAGGTTACAAGATTGCAGGAGGTGCGATTCACATCCTACCATTGGTTTCACAGAATTCAGCTCATCAGTGAACAGTGCAAATGTAGCAATGCACCAGCAAAGGCAGTAAAGGGGAAGACTGCAAGCAAATAAACATGGATGCAAACAATGCATGATTTTTTTTTAATACTTAATATTTTAAATGAGCTTGGCAAATGTTTCATGAGGAAGGATTTGTACTACATGTTTGTTAAGGATAGCTACACAATTTTTCGCGTCTGTGTTAAAACAGTATTTAGGTGCTCCTGTTCATTCTGAACATTAAATTGTGCTTTGTGCAAAAATCTATTAGAAGGTTTATCTAAAGTTTAAAATGAGGCTTCAGCAGTTCATTTCCTAGAAAATGTTCTCTTTGTTTCACCATACCTCCACAGCACAACACTGTCAAGAGAAACATAAATAAAGACTGTGTTGGTCTTTAAATGGCCAGTATGAACTGGAGGAATGACTACAAGGAAATCCTGACTGTTTTAAGACTTGAAATATTTTAAACCCTATCCTGTCAACCTCTATGGTACACACAATACATTTTGGTGAGTAACACTGAATGTAAACAGAATATGCTTGTTTACAAAAAAACACCACAGGAGACAACAACAGTATGCAATGTAACCACACACCTGATATTCACTAATAAGTAACTCAATATTACACCTTTAATATGTGATTAACAGTTCATTTCCTTCAGAGACAGCTACAGCACTGGATTTTAATTACACACAGTCAGAGCCTTTCAGGATATGACTATTTTAAACAGTTTACCTTCCCTTGTTTGCCTTTTTGCGGTTTGTAAAGACAAGCAAGAGGATTTTCAGCACAGATCATGCTAGAGCTCAACATCACATTTAATAGCTAAGTAAAGTAACTGAGGCCGTATAGCAGTTTCAGTCAAGTTTTCCTCACATATATAATTAGAGAGCTCTAACCATATTGCAGTATATATACACAATAGATGGAGAGCAAAGTTATTAAACTACAAACTAAAACAAGGTGTGAAAAAATATTACTAGACTATAAACTTTAGAAAAAGTGAAATATAACTGAACAATATTGTGTATTTATAAAACAAATATACAGGAAATATGTTTAGTTTAAGTTATGTCAATTTAGTCAAAAACAACAAGCCTGAGGAGGCATTGTGAATATGTTTATTGAGACTGTGGTGGATCTGTAGTGTGAAATATGGAAGTGTATATCCCATTTTCAAAATTACACAAAACGGATAAGACTGCCAGAATGATAACACACACACACCTCAATGGCAGCTGTAAAAATGTGGTTATTCTCATGATTTTATAGATCAAATAAAATATAATGAAATGTTGAAAGCAGTCTAAAGTAAAGAGAAAACAGAAAGAATGAGATAAGACATAATTGTTTGATGTTCTATATAAAATCAGGGACAGAGTCATCAGAAAACAAGTCATGTTAATATCTATGACTGACATTAAAACAACATTAAGTATCTTTTCTAAACAGCTTCAAAATCATTGAATAGTGCCTCTGTCATGCCCACTCTGCTCCCTAGGCCCGTTCTTGCACTATGTAAACGGAGGATGAAGAAGAGGAG